AAATCAACCAGACCTAACCAATCAAAATATTTAGATTTCGGCATTAAATGACCCATAGAGGTTGATATGCCGCTAAACAAAATCAACCAAACCAATCAAAATATTTAGATTTCGGCATTAAATAACCCATAGAGGTGTTGATTCGTCGCTAAATAAAATCAACCGACCAATTACACATCCTGATTCAGGGTAGGTGCCATAATTTCTGTTTTGGAAATCTTTAACTTGAGTTCCATTTCTTGCAACGGTTGATAGGGGATCGAGATTTTCTGTTTAAGATTATTCCTGTCTAAAATATGAACACCTATATCATCAGCATATCCATTTTCATTATCAGGTAAATTAGCCTCGGTAGGAAAGAGGACCTCAGATGGTGTCTTAAATTGGCGGATTTAATCATCTTCAGCAGTCAAGCTATTCTAAGTGAATTGGAGACCGTACAAGGATCAAGATATGACAGTGTGTTGATATCAGATTCAGAAAGCAAACTACAGGACCTCCTACTAAGGATAAACTGTAAGAAGAGTGAATGGAAAGTTATTAGCAAGAGAAAAATCCCAACGTGAGAACTATTAATTGGAAATGTCAAATTGACACAAATTTACAATTTGTAGGTTATGATTACCAAAAAATGAGTGCATATTATGCGTGAAAAATATTTTTGCACAATTTTAGGGGTGGGTATTATGGCTGAAGGCGTATTATACATGGAGAATTTCGATAATATTTGATTTGAATTGATTATATTTTGAATTTTTTTTTCTTTTTGATGTGTTTCCGATGATTTCTTTTTAATCTTGAGATTAGCTAGATATCTTCTCAAGTTCATTAATTATAGAGTTTGTATTTAATCTAACCAGTCTACATGTCGTTTATAACAACGTTATCTTGGCATATTATTTTTTGGGTGGGGACATGGGGACCCTTTTTGTGCATTGTATATAAATATATTGTATGTGGTCTTGCAGGATTTTAAAAGTATTTTTTCATAACATTTTTCTACCATCGTCACCACAATTTTGACTCGAATAACAGTCGATTTCTTTACATTCACTTTCGTGCCAATACCTATGGGAGAAATATTAGTCTGTATGGCGGACTGGGCTCATCAACCTTGGTTGGCAAACATTTTGAGATAAAAACAACTCTAAATTAAGACCTGCGACTAAAAGCAGTCATCTAAAATATTCTTGTCACTAGATATTGTTAGCTGGTCTTCAGAGAGCAGTATTCCTGCTATACAAGTGCCTGTCACTAAAATCACTTCGAGTTACAGGTATTTTCTTACGTGTAAGAAAGTGATTATTATATAATTACATTGTTATTAATATCAAAATTATGATACCTAGAAGTATGAGTAATTTTGATACTTATTCTCGATATAAAAATCATCTACTTCGTCTTGTATTTGCCGTGCCACTTCATCCCGTAAGCAATCACGACTCTTCACAACTTCCTAGCCTTTGTAACACTTAGCAGCTTTTCTTTCTGTTGTGATGATATAACCCAACTTCCCCATTCACGATAATGGACGGACTGGTTGCCGATTAAGTACGACCACAGCGGACAGTTAAGAGGTCTTCGTTTGTTAAAACCTATTGAGGTTAGCATACTCCCGACTCTGTCTCTGTATTTGACACATCTACATCCGATTATAAACCTATTATTGAAACCCAACACTCATGTTACTGTGTTTATTATATCTTGCACGAGATATAACACTTTCTTTACTGTGTCCCTTGCTTCTTCCACTCCGCCTTTCATCTACACAACATCGTCAAATAGGTGGCTATCAGCCTTCTATAAATCTTGCTTTCGATATGTGACGTCGTCCCCCGGTCGCAGCGCCGACTGTGACGTTCTATCCTCATCTACCACGGCACCAGTTGTGACGTCCCCAAACAGCACCAATTGTGACGTCCTCGCCGCGGCGCCAGCTGTTCGCTCCTCGCTGCTCCGTTCGGGTGTCGCTGCTCCAAACGTGACGTCCGCCTGTCGCGTCAGTCGTGTTGTCTCGTCCTGTGACGACCAACTGGCTTGGTATCGGTCGCGGCACCCAAATGTGACGTTCTAACCTTTTGGTGATTCGGGTGGGAATCTGGTTAGATTTGATATCAGCCTCGTCGTTCCCAACTCGCTTCCAACGCCTGGTTACCAAAGGTAACTGCATTGATCTCCAGTCTGCCTACCCACGTTGTGAATTGATCTTAGACAGACGAGATCAAACAGTGGTTGGGGCCATAATGCAAACTGAGTTCAACGGGGTGATACTACACAAATATGCATAAAATAAAATAAAATGAAAACTCAAAAAGTTCAAAGTATCAAAGAAAAAAAGGTAACAAACTTTATGTCTAGTTGTTCGATACATAGGTCTGCATCTATCTCCCGACCCGTTCTGTGGATTGTGACACGTCGTTTTCCGTTAGGCAAGTTTTTAACACTTCAAGTTGTTTGCTCTCTAAGAAATTGGCGTTTCAATTGTGTCTTTGGACGAAAGTCGAAAAAAAAACTTATTTCGGTGGTCTGGTTCTAAGTCGCTCTTCAAAATAATTGTTCTTGGGTTGAAGAGGAGTCCGGAATTTGCGTGAATCTTGGTCAGCTAAACTCACTGGAACTGCTGGAACTCAACTCTGGAAACTCAACTCTCCGCTGGAGCCCGAACTCTGATTTCTGCCTGTTGGGGCCTCGCTTTTATTGACGCCGACCAAAACCGGGGTGGGTCTGTCGGCGTCGGGGGTTCCTCGATAATTCTAAATACATATCCACCTCTTTTATTTCTGGTTAGGGATTTTCCACTCTTTTTTCCATTTTTGGGAACCTTTCCTTACTCCCACTTTCTCACCCATACTTCAGAGGGCGTGAACTGCCCTCCCCACTTCTTCGTAGAAGCTTCTCATACATACTCTGGATGAGGCGTCGACAGCCTTCTTCGTGCGTCACGTGATCACCACTCGACCAATGAGGTCTTAGTCGGGTATCTTTCCTCCTCCTTCGTGCGTCACGTGATCACCACTTGACCAATGATGTCTTATTCGGGCGTGAACAATCCGCGGCTTTGTTTCGGGGAAAAAAAAATATCTTGCTTAACTAAAAAAATTATCTCTTCTCTTTCCTTTTTCTTCCTTTAATCGCCGTTATCATTTTTCTGCCGCAAACGGACAATATGACAACTCTTGTTCTACACGTGGTTTTTGTCAGGTAATTTATCGCTAATTATCAAAATGGGTGGTCTTCTTAACACGGCCTCAAAAAAGAAATATCTCTAAAGTTTCAGTCTGTCTGTCGCCTCCAAGGAAGAAGAAAAAACATTTCTGGGTCCCCATTCATTTTCCTTCGGTACATATTTGTGATAACTTAATTTTATTATCGCAGGCCAAAGTTGTTTCGTCGAAAAAAAATCCGTCAGCGGACACGGCTTGTGTGGCTTTTAATTTTTCATATCTACCCAAAGTCCTGTAGTTACACCTGTGTTTTGTCAATTATCAAAATTAACGTTTTCAATTGAATTTTTCGTTTGCCAGTCGAGCAGCCGTTTTGTTTACGTACTCATAGATAACACAGCCGTTATCAAAACACATCTGTTTCTTTCTTTCTTTCCCTTTCTTCTTACCCAGAATTTCCCTGTCATTGTAATGACACCCTTATCCATGGTTACTTATCAATATATTCATTGTCTCTTAGCCGTGTGTGTGTTCTGCTGATCACCCACGATTCGTCTCGCCTTTCTTTCTGCCTTCTTTTCTTTCTTTTCCTTTCTCTGCCTCGTAAATGGTGCCACAGATATGCCCTGTGAGGGTTAAATTTTCCAAGCCTTCCTTCCTCATGTTTCCAAGCTATTTCAACTGCCTTTTTCTGAATCTTTGTATCATTGTTCTTGATATGCTATTTTTTGGTTTGGTGGTGGGTGGGGGTTCGTATTTTTCTTATGCATTGTACATGAAATGTCTATATTGCTGGATTTTAAATGTATCTTCATTGCATTTTTCTGCAACAGGTAAAAATTCAGAGCCCAATATTCAACTATTGAAACCCAATCGAAATTTTCCTGTTTCTTATCATATTGAAGATATTATTAGTATAGGTTATCAGCCACACAGAGTTTATCGACAATTTTGTGTTAGGAAGAATAACGTGTTTTAGCCTTCCAGTAGTATACCGTATACTAATATTAGCATTAGTGTAGCCATTGATACACTAACACTGAATGCGAATATAAAAAGACGAAGTACGCGACCGTAACAAACAAAACATTTAATAAGGCAAATAACTTATATGCATATATTAAAAAGATTTACACATGTCCCAAAACAAATGATTGTCCATATTGTCCCAAAGGAACGAGGTGGTTTACAGAACGAGAACAAAGAAATAACATACCAACTTTATGGCCTTTAATAGTCTGCAGATAAGTGAACAGAAATTACTTTTGTCTTTCGCTAGGCAGTGCACATGTTGATCAGTGTCAACGTGTGTGAACGCCCTCGTGTTCAGAAAGGTAAAGAAGCTGTTTCTCAAAAAAAAAAAAAAAAAAAAAAAAAACGGAAGCAAAAACTAAAAGGGACAGAAGAGTTCTGCTATCTAAAGGGGGCGAACTCCCATGAACTCAACCCAAGGGAAAACAACTGCGGTCCTTCTACAATATCTTTCGTTATTCCAATGCTCTTTCGGATTTCAGTGTCACAATTTCCGTCCTGCGTTTAAAAGCTTCCTAGGTGTTTATTAACAATCAATATTAAACTGGCTACATCTGTTATATTTTTGGCCCGAAGCAGAAATGTTTATGCCTCAGGCAAAGAATGAAATAATCCATACAAGCTTCATGACGTGATTTTTTTTATTGTTTTCTATCTATATCTTCGTTCACAATAGAATTTTCGTGAATACGATCAAAAAATAGCTTACAAACTTTCACAAATTATTGCATTTAAATGAATTGTTCTCTCGAAGGAATAATACATAAATAGTTATACATATACACACATGCCCACAAACACGTCTTGCAGCCATATCAAGTTGAAATACCCGTTATCGTCGAATCGCTAAAGTTAAGCAACCTCGAGCCTGGTCAGTACTTAGGTGGGTGACCGACTGGGAAAAACAAGTGCTGTAAGCATAGATGTGCGGGTGGTGTAATGGATAATATCCCGGAATTTTTAATCGAGGTGCCGAGTTCCCATTTCCGAAGAGTTTCATTATATTACGTGCAAATACACTTGGGAAAGGTGTGAATCCAACTCTTTTAACACCCCCCAGGTATGGGTTAAATTAGTAATACTTGTATCCGTAAACAATTACTATAAAAAAAAACTGTTGCAAACTAATTCTATATTTTGTCTTTAAATAAATAGCAAAACGTAAAAAAAAATCAATGGAAAATCTTATCTCTATGTACTTGGCCTTCACAGCAAAGACCCTCCATAGTTCTTAACTGTGAAGGCCTGAACGGATAGAATGAGGGAATATAACTCGTCTGAACATACTCCATGGATATAGCGATACAATAGCGAGAGGCTTGCTATGATCCGTTAGCCGATTCAGGAAAAAGGTTTTAGGACCGAAAATAATTAATCATCCACATTTCCTTCGCTTAGATAAGATAAATGAATCTAAGAAGTAAAACGGCGTAAAAGCAAAGAGTCTAAAAGGGGTTACGGAAAAGCAAGAAAACAGAGAGGATGATAAGATACCATAAATAAGTCTAAGAGGTACAACGGCGTAAAAACAAAGAGGCTGAAAGGGGTTAGGGAAAGTTGAAGGAAACAGAGAGGATGGTAAGATACCATAAAGCATAAAAGCAAAGAGGCTGAAAGAGGCTTCGGAAAGGGAAGGGAAGAGAGGATGGTAAGATACCATAAATAAATCTAAGAGGTACAACGGCGTAAAAACAAAGAGGCTGAAAGGGGTTACGGAAAGTTGAAGGAAACAAAGAGGACGATAAGATGCCATTAATGAATTTAAGAAGTACAATAGCATAAAAGCAAAGAGGCTGAAAGAGGTTACGGAAAGGGAAGGAAAGAGAGGATGGTAAGATACCATTAATAAATCTAAGAGGTACAATGGCACAAAAGCAAAGAGGCTGAAAGAGGCTTCGGAAAGGGAAGGAAACAGAAAGGATCATAAGAAGACAAATGATAAAGATTGATATTACAATTACATTTTTAAAGACGGTAGTTGACAGAAAATCAGGAAGAGTTCCACAAAATATTAGCATATATCTTACGGTTTCAACAGCGTAATTATGAGACCTAGCTGCCATTCTAGTACTGCGCTTAAATTTGCGAGGTTGAGATACCGAAAATAAAGCTAATCGAAAAAATTAATGTGAAAATATGTATTGGAAAAGACGAAATTGAGCGACGGCGGCAGAAATATATCTAAAACCGAAATTCTAAGTAGGAACCAATAATATTTCAGATTGTTCATTTTGATTTTTTCCAGAATGTCTCGATATAAAACAGAACAACCAAAACAGATGTTGGGGCAATATACGATACACGAATGAATTGTAGACTCCTAAATATACAAGAAAGATTCTGACGTAAAAGACTGTCTGGCGCCACAGAGTGAACCGCTTTTCTCAGTAGCCGTTTTAGAAAATGATTCAATATAATCGTTCCACTTTGAAAATTTGAAAGCAAGAAAGTTGCTATTTCAACACTATAGGAACTTTCTCGCTTGTTGGCTATTGTGGCATGTTAGGGCATCCTTACTTTTCTCGAGTCACCAGTAGAAGTAATCAGCAGAGAACAACAGGAAGACACAGAAGTCCTAAAAACGCTGACCGAAATCTATTCGCTCTCTTTTCCATTCTACCTATTCAGCGACCGCTACCTTCAAGGCCCACCTCGAAGGACTACTCACAAGCCTTGTTGCAGAAGACACGTGGCCTGTCCTGGCTGCTTGACCTGAGATTTCTCGTTCCTAGTGAGAATAAGCGGAGAAATCTCCTTTCGAGGCACCTAACCGAAGAAACTACTCACAAGCCGTGCTGTAGAAAAACGTGCCAATCCTAGCAGTTTGTCACTCAGATTTCTCGTTCCTCGTGGGAACAAGGGGAGAAAAATCTCCCTACGTAGCATCTACTCAATGTAAGATCTTTGTTAACTGGGAAACCCAAATTTTTTTTCCCTCAAAATATGAATATTTCCCATTCAACCACAAATAAAATCTGTTAAAGAGTTATTTCGACCCTGGGGTTTGTTCCTTCTACTCTATACACTGCCGAGCGTGAGTGCGCACACACACGTGTGTGCGCAATCGGAAAAATATACTCAGTATTAGTTATGCTTCTGAGACCCAAAAAATATTATTTAAGATGATTAATAGAATACGGTTTCGTTTTAGAGGCGTTTTGGTTTGATCTGGAGAAGTGTGGGCTCCGCCGGGTGTACTTTTCCCAAAACGAGCTAAGCCTGAATGTACACATCCCTCTCAACATATGTTGATAGGTGTGGTTGTAAAGGAAAAAAAAAGACTATCAAGTTATAGTAGCAATAAATGTCTGCGATAGATTTGTTCTGTCTCTCGACCGAAACACATGTTGCAAAATCAGAGTTCAAACGATAGTCCGTCGTAACAGTCCAACAGGCAACATAGAAACGACAAAATGGGGTCACACATCCAACCTTCACTTCTCACCAGCAAAAAACGCGTGTTCGTCCACCAAGCTCAGAAAATCCAGATCGCCCATGTAAGCGAAAATCAACGGATTTTGTTCACCGGGAGATCTTTCTGATTGGTCACGCCATTCAAGGGAGGGAAGAACATTAGCATAGATTCTGGTCCTTAAAGTAGATTTTTGCTAACTGCTTTTTGGTAATTAGATCGCGCACAAAACACGGACTCTTTTTCGAGGTAGCTGATTAACTCTTTCACTACAATAGGACATGTGGATAGAACAGGGGTTAGTACTAATCCACGCGGCGACCATATTACCACACCCGTTCGTGGGACTGACAGTAAACTATGTTTATAAAAAAGAAACGGATAATATTGGGTTGACACATTTTTGACACAAACTTTTCATCGTACGCATAAATACATGAAGCAATCCGTAATCTAATGAAGAAAATATTTATTTCACGCAATAACAATTTTATATGAACAGCGGATTGGTAGGCTTCAGGCATGAAACGCAGGAGGCAAAATGTTTTATTATTACGCTAATCTTTCGACTAGAATGTTGCTTCGGTTCTTCCAGACTCCGACTCAAGAAATTATTCGAGGCAAAGAAGTGGGAATATTAAAGAAATGCAATAAATTTATATAAGTGAAACTTTTCACGAAGTCGATTGTCGTAAAATAACATCAAAATAGAATCAAATAGATTAAGAAAGGTAAATTCAAATGTGTTCTTTATAACTGCTTTCTTTATGTTTACGACGAAATAGGAACTTGCATCGACAAAAGATATTATATTTCTAAGCATTTTTTAAATAATTTATTGAATAAATAATCAATGCAATAAAGTTATACTTTAATTAAAAGCAATAAAACATACGAAATGCATTGCCATTGCATATGTCAAGACAGCCAGACAAAAGATAGATAGATAGATAGACAGATATTAACAGAATACGATAGATAGATAGATAGATAGATAGATAGATAGATAGATAGATAGATAGATGTGTACAATGACAGACTAAGGGATGTGAACTGATATATATGTATATATGTGTATTTACGTGTATATATATATATATATATATATATATATATATATATATATATGTGTGAAAAGTGTATATAAATATAAATAAATATATATATGTATAATTATTTATATATTATGAGCGCGGTACTTATTAGAAAGCGCTCAATATCAGAGATAGAGCTAACATATTTGGTTAGATAGATGTGAGTTTGTCAAACTCACATCTATCCAACCATATATATATATATATATATATATATATATATATATATATATACTGAATAGAAAGATATTACATTAGCTAAACTCATAATGACAGGACTGAAAGAGTATATAGATGCTTAGTAATCATATATATTTTTCTAATAACCTCTCCCCCCTTGGTACGTCAACCGCATGAATTTGAACGTACAACTAGAAGATTATCCTCAAATATAGATAGATAGATAGATAGAAATGACCAGACTCTGATAGATAGATAGATAGATAGATAGATAGATAGATAGATAGATAGATAGATAGAAATGACAGACTCAGATAGATAGATAGATAGATAGATAGAAATGACCAGACTCAGATAGATAGATAGATAGATAGATAGATAGATAGATATGACCAGACTCAGATAGATAGATAGATAGATAGATAGATAGATAGATAGATGATAGATAGAAATGACAGACTCAGATAGATAGATAGATGGATAGATAGATAGATATGACCAGACTCAGATAGATAGATAGATAGATAGATAGATATGACCAGACTCAGATAGATAGATAGATAGATAGATAGATAGATAGATAGATAGATATGACCAGACATAAATAGAAAGATGTGAACAGTTCCAGTTAGATGGGTGGGGAGGAAGATAGAAAAGACGTAGCTAGCTAGCTAGATAGATAGATGTGAAAAGAGGTAGTTATATATAAAGAGATGAATATAGATAGATAGATAGATAGATAGATAGATAGATAGATAGATAGATAGATAGATAGATGGAAAGAAAGAGACGGAGACACAGAGAGAGAGAGAGAGACAGACAGAAATTCAAAGATTGAATTAGGGAAATAGATATTGAACGCTGAGATAGATTGGAACAGACTGAGATAGATAGATAGATAGATATGAACAGGATGAGATAGATAGATAGATAGATAGATAGATAGATAGATAGATAGATAGATTGATAGATAGATAGATAGATATGAACAGGATGAGATAGATAGATAGATAGATAGATAGATAGATAGATAGATAGATAGATAGATGTTTATGTTTCTAATAAACGTAGGTAAATCAACGGACCCATAACCTAATAAAGATTAAAGAAAATATTTACACAGGCAAATATTTCGCGCGAACAGATGTTTGTTTAGACAAAAGCACCACTACTGTCGTCAAAATGTTTACTATTCCGATATGATTCATTCAGACAAAGGCACATTTCTTAAATACTTATAGTATGGCATTTATCACAGTTATTATTGTTGTTCATTTTCATTTCTCGAATTTATTTCATCGGCTTTCTATTTCCTATATATATATATATATATATATATATATATATATATATATATATATATATATATATTTCATTAAATAATATAGACAAGTGTTGTCTATTTATTTTATGTAAATTTTTCATAAGGTCTGATAAGCTTAATAACATTATCATTAAACGAAGGAAGAAAATCACAATATTGATACATATTTTTTAAATCCATTCTAAACTTTCGGCTTACATAAGCCATTATCAAAGATGACAATTACTGTACAATATATTAAGCAATACACAGATAAGAAAGTGATGATAGTCTGTTTCTGTATACATGGATGATTTCCAAGCAACGATAAACACGTACTTATAAGACCCTGGAAGCAAAAATCGTACCGCAGCTCATGACGTCACACATGACCATGCAAGAGTGAATTCGAGAAGTATTAAGTATGGGAAGCCGTTGGTATCCAATTATCAATTATTTAAGGATATTTATTGAAATTTCATAGTTTATTTTGACCGATCAATAAGAGATTCATGCATGCAAACGCATCCATAATGCAGTCGACATCGGCTTACCATCCTTTCTCTCTCAGCCTCTCTCTTTCTCTCTCTAAATATATAATCTCTGCATTTATGCAAAACAACCCACATTCAACAAAATTACATTTCAAACTAGTCAAAACATATTACAATGCATTTAAACATACGTTTCCGTTGATAACATTTCTTTCTGTCACCTGGTAATGTACGACGTCATAGAAGAGCATTCTGAATTTAAGACCTCTGTCGCAAACTTCTATGTAAGCAAAACAGGATGTCAGCTTTGACGGTGAACATCTCTATAATGCCCATCTAACCATTCTGATGATGGATCATGTGAGCCTAACGCTTAGATCGATGAAAAACATAATAAAAAATATCCAAATGTTGGACAGTTTTTGTCTTTATTTTCTCCCGAAACTAAAGCCATTGTACGAAGCTTGGAACGGCTCATGATCAAATATAATATACATTCGTTGTTGTCTGTTTAACAATATTTCTGAATATATATATATATATATATATATATATATATATATATATATATATTGTTCTTTATTTTTATTTTATCAACTTTTCGGATTAATATCCATATATGATCTGTTTGTCTTTAACTAATACATTTATATATATATATATATATATATATATGTGTGTGTGTGTGTGTGTGTGTGTGTTGTGTGTGTTTTTGTGTGTGTGTCTGTTAGAGAATGCAGATTCCAGAAGTCATCTCTGACAGTCTGAACAAACATTCTTGCTGTAAGACTCCTTTGTATATGTTTTGTATTTCTGCTTCTGTTAATATATTTGTTTAACTCACTCACTCTGTGTCTTTATTTCTGGCGCTAACAAGGCCACAACACACACATATATATATATATATATATATATATATATATATATATATATATATATATTGTAATCCACAGAGAGACTGTTTCAGTGTTACACAGCTCATAATTGTGGCTAGATATAATATTGATGGAAACCTGACGGATTTGATATCAGTCGGAGACTCTATCCCTAAGCCATTGGCGCAGAGCATGGATGTAGATGAATTTAGACGTATTTATTTTAGATAAACACGCCAGTGACTAGAGAACTCGATTCGTCTTAACGAAGTGTCTTGCATCAGCAGCAGTAATAGTCACTGTTTACATATTAATTTTTCTCCTTCTTTTTAATTTTTTTTCAGAAGCATATGCAGACAGTTTTGCTGTTTCACAGCTCATCAGTGTGGCTAGACATCCTATTGCCTCAAGCCAGGATCGGAACCCGACTGATTTGGTATTAGTTGGAGATTTTAGCCCTTAGCCATTAGCATACAGCAAGGATGATGGTGATGGTATATATATATATATATATATATATATATATATATATATATATATATATATAACTAATTCATCGAGTCTGATAGAAACCTCAACAGAATGCAGAAAGCACTGAAGGGCCGTTTCGTCCTATGTTTGGGACTCATCTGCAGTGCGCATCCACGGAATATGGGAGCGACTGGCGCTATATTGAGTCTGATTTGCCATCTCTTCGTCACCAAGACCCGTTAGAATAGTTGGTATGATGTTTGCTTGAAAGCCAAACTGTCCGGTTTTCAATTCTCGGTAGTGGATGCGCACTGCTGACGAGTTCCAAATATAGGACGAAACGGCCGTCCAGTGCTTTCTGCATTCTGTTGAGGTTTCTATCAGACTCGATGAACTATTTAAATATAATTATCAAATCCTCCTAATAATTTCTATATATATATATATATATATGCAAAAAGTGATAGATTTATATTTGAAAAAATTGATTTCCTACATTTTATTTTTCGTGGAATAAACGAATATGTGTATCCGCTAAATATACCGTTACAACACACACACACACATACATGGACCATTGCAGAATCTTCGAGACATTTGCTGGGAGAAGCAGTTATAACGGCCCCAGATAACTGAATGAAATTCTACAATACCAAACGTCTCTAATACTTATATAGAAACAAACAGAGAGACATGTGGAGTAATGGATAGCGGCTCCGATTGAGTAATCGTAGAGCCGTGTTCGAATTCCAATAGAATCCATTATATTCACTTACGTGCTAATACCCTTGGGAAAGGTGTGAATCCTCTTCTTCTCCCTCCAGCTATGGGTAAATAGCAGGACTGACTGGGTTCTATAGCTTTGGATGGCAACTGGTCTAGGAGAAGGAAAACTCGGAATTCAAAACCTGCCGAGGGTCTTTTGGGGACTTTGCGGGACGTAGTGCTTCAGGTCTCCGTATTCGTCCCTTCAAAATGTGTGGATGGTCCTGCACGAGGCCTTCACCACTATAATCAAATCTCACGTGATATACATGCGGGTTGGGGACCGCTTGTGAATTCTAAATTCCCATGAATTCTCGGGTGAATGCCGTTACAAGAACAAGAGAGAACGACAAGCAAGTTAGCCTCAGAGATTCCAAGCCATTTTCTTAATACGTAGTTGTGTTGTTCTTCTTTTAGTCGAACTGATTTAGATGAGTTTTCTCTGGCGAAACGGTCTTTGATTAACAATTTACACTTGTGTCTCATCGGCTTCACAGACACACAGATATATATATATATATATATATATACATATATATATATATTGTAATGAATTATAATAAAAATGTTATAACACATATACACATGCACACACACATATATATATATATATATATTTATATTTTATTGTAATGAATTATAATAAAAATGTTATAACACATATACACATACACATCTATATATATATATATATATATATATATATATATATATATATATTTTATTATTTTATTGAATTTATAATAAAATGTTATAACACATATACATACACACACACACACATATATATATATATATTTATGACATTCATAACTATTCGTAATATAAATGTAAAAATAGACTAAATATAATGGAAGACAACACACAGTAATACCAACTATGAATATGGACACAATGTTTTGACCGTATTTTGAAAATGAAAATGTTATATATATATATACCTATGTACAACAATGTATTTCTTGTTTACAGTTAATATATTTCAACCTTGATAAATTGATAATGGCTAAATGTATAAAATATATAGAAAGCGCTCGGAAAAAGAGGAACAATTGTTTGGATCGTTTCATATAATTTATGATTCGAAAGGAAAAAAATATTATTATAAGATCACATGAGAAATTCAATAAAAAAACTAAATCAAAGTACCTTGTCTGTCATATTCAATGACACGTGCATATATATATATATATATATATATATATATATATTTAATTAATTAATTCATCGAGTCTGATAGAAACCTCTACAGAATGAAGGAAGCACTGGACGGACGTTTCGTCCTATATTTGGGACTCATCAGCAGTGCGTATCCACTACCGAGTATCGAACCCTGACAGTTGGGTTGTCAAGCGAACACCATACCAACTGTTCCAAATAGGCCTCGGTGACGAAGAGATTCCAAATCAGACTCAACTAAGCGCCGCTCGCTCGTGGCGAAACATATAGGACGAATATATTTCAAATATCAAAATTAATTTTGATAATTGACAAAACACTGGTGTAACTACAGGGCTTTAGGTAGATATGGAAAAATTAATCGCGACACACACGAAGTAACTACACTGACCGATTTTCTTGCCGCAGAACATCTTTGGCCTACGATAATAAAATTATGTTATCAGAAATATGTACCGAAAGAAAATGAATGGGGACGCAGAAGTGTTTTTCTTCTTTCTTCGAAGCGACAGACT